CCCACATGGGAGACCCAGAAGATCCTGGCTCCTGACTTCAGATCGGCTCAGCTCCAACTGTTGTGGCCATTTGGGGAGGGAACAAGCAGATGGAAGGTATCTATCCCTGTCCCTCTCACTCTACAACTCTGCTTTCAAACAAATAATTTTAAAAAAAGATTTATTTATTTATTTGAAAGGCAGATTTACAGAGAGGCAGAGGCAGAGGTAGAGAGAGAGGGAGATCTTCTATCTGTTGGTTCACTTCCCAGATGGCTGCAATGGCTGGAGCTGCATCAATCCGAAGCCAGGAGCCAGGAGCTTCTTCCTGGTCTCCCATGCAGGTGCAGGGGCCCAAGGATCTGGGCCACATTCTACTGCTTTCCCAGGCCATAGTACAGAGCTGGATCGGAGGTGGAGCAGCTGGGACTCAAACTGGCACCCATATAGAATGCCGGCACTGCAGACGGTGGCTTTGTCCAATACGCCATGGCACCGGTCCCACAAATAAGTAAATCTTAAAAAAAAAAAATAGCAATGACTAAATATCTAAAAGCTTTCCCTCTGATATTAGGAATAAGGCAAAATGCCTACTCTTACCACTTCCACTTGACCTTGTACTAGAGGTTCTAGCCAAGGCTTTAGGCAGAAAAAGAAATAGAAGGCATCCAGATTGAAAAAGGTAGAAGCAAAATTATTCCTATTAGTATGTGACATGATCTTGTTGGAGTATACAGAACATTTCAGGAATCCATAAAAAAAGATTAAGACTCGGCTCACTAGGCAAATCCTCCACCTGCGGCACTGGCACCCCGGGTTCTAATCCCAGTTGGGGCGCCGGATTCTGTCCTGGTTGCCCCTCTTCCAGGCCAGCTCTCTGCTGTGGCCAGGGAGTGCAGTGGAGGATGGCCCAGGTGCTTGGGCCCTGCACCCCATGGGAGACCAGGAGAAGCACCTGGCTCCTGCCATCAGATTGGCTCAGTGCACCGGCCTCAACACGCTGGCCGTAGCAGCCACTTGAGGAGTGAACCAACGGAAAAAGGAAGACCTTTCTCTCTGTCTCTCTCTCTCTCACTAACTCTGCCTGTAAAAAAAAAAAAAAAAAAAAACAACAAACAAACAAAAAAAACTAATAAATGGGTTAAGCAGTTTTGTATGACGCAAGGTTAATATACAAAAAATATTGTATTTCTGGGGCTGACACTGTGGCGTAGGGGCTAAAGCCGCCATCTGCAGTGCTGGCATCCCACATGGGTGCTGGTTTGAGTCCCAGCTGCTCCACTTCTGATCCAGCTCTCTGCTATGGCCTGGGAAAGCAGCAGAAGATGGCCCAGGTCCTTGGACCCTTGCACCTGCATGGGAGACCCAAAGAGGCTCCTTGGCTCCTAGCTTTGGATCAGCACAGCACTAGCGATTGTAGTCATTTGAGGAGTAAACCAGTGGATGGAAGCCCTCTCTCTCTCTGCCTCTCTGTAACTCTGACTTTTAAATCTATCTATCTATCTATCTATCTATCTATCTATCTATCTATCTATCTATTGTATTTCTAAACTAGCAATTCAGTGGAGGAAAGAATCAGACTTTAAACAAATACTGTTGGGACAACTGGATGTCTGTGTACAAGAGTGAAACTGGACTTCCTACCTCACACTGTATGCAAAGATTAGCTCAAAATGGATCACAGACCTAAATGTAAGAGCTAAAATTAGGAATTGCTTAGGAATAAATCTTTGTGACCTTGGATTAGGCAGTGGTTTCTTAGATATGACCCCAAAAGCACAAGTGACAAAAGCAAAAAAATAGATAACTGGAGCTCATAAAAAATTAACAATACTTGGCCGGCGCCGCGGCTCACTAGGCTAATCCTCCGCCTTGCAGCGCCGGCACACCGGGTTCTAGTCCCGGTTGGGGCGCCGGATTCTGTCCCTGTTGCCCCTCTTCCAGGCCAGCTCTCTGCTATGGCCAGGGAGTGCAGTGGAGGATGGCCCAAGTACCTGGGCCCTGCACCCCATGGGAGACCAGGATAAGTACCTGGCTCCTGCCATCAGATCAGCGTGGTGCGCTGGCCGCAGCGCGCCGGCCGTGGCGGCCATTGGAGGGTGAACCAACGGAAAAGGAAGACCTTTCTCTCTGTCTCTCTCTCTCTCTCTCTCACTGTCCACTCTGCCTATCAAAAAATAATAAAAAAAAATTAACAATACTTGTGCTTCAAAGACTGTAAACAAGAAAGTAAAAAGACAACCTACAGAATGAAGAAAAATATTTACGAATCATACTTCTGGTAATGAACTTGTATCTAGAATATGTCAAGAACTCTTACAACTCAGCAACAGAAAGACAAACAGCTCAATTCAAAATAGGCAAAGCATCTGGATAGACATTTTTCCAAATAAGAGATACAAATGGCTGGCAAGTGCAGGTAAAGATACTCAATACCACCAGCCACCAGGGAATTGCAAATCAAAACCATGATGAGAAACCACTTCCCCTACTAGTATGGCTATAATCAAAAGATGGAAAATAATAAGCATCAGTGTAGAAAAACTGGAACTCTCTTACATTGTCCATGGGAAAATAAAATGGCTAACTCCTATAAGAAACAGTTTGGCACTTTCTGGCAAAGTCAAACATGGAGTTACCATCTTACCCAGAAATCACCGTACTAAGAATATACCCAAGAGAAATAAAAACTTATGTCAGCACCAACACTTGTATACAAACGTCAACAGTGGGATTATTCACAGTAGCCAAAAAGTACAGACATCCCCAATGTTCATTGACTAATGAACAGATATACAAAATGTGATACATTCATAAAATGGTATATTACTTGTCTTAAAAAATGGAGTGCAGAGACATGTTGCATCATAGATGAACCTCAAAAACATTATGCTAAATGAAAGAAGCCATATACAAAGGACAGGTATTATATGATTCCATTCACATGAAATATCCAAATAAACAAGACTTTGGGCAAATTAATATTCACATGGAGCTCTTAATATACTAAAATTTAGTAAATGTTTGAGAAGGGGTTTCAGATTTTGAAAAAAATGACATTTCTAATGTTTGTGTATTTCCTCCGCATCTGGTCAGCTTTCAGAGACTTTTTACCCTGGAGCCAGCAGGGCACAGCAGGTTAAGTCGCTATTTGCAATGCCAGCATCCCATAGTAGGGCATGGGTCCTGCTCTGCTTCCCAAACAGCTCCCTGCTAATGCACCTGGGAAGCAGTGGAAGATGGCTTAAGTACTTGGGCCCCTGCTACCCAGGTGGGAGACCAGGTTGGAGTTCCTGGCTCCTGGCTTCATCCTGGTCCAGGCCTGGTTGTTGCAGCCATTAGGGAAGGTGAACCAACAGATAGAGGATCTCTCTTGTCTCTCCCTCCGACTTTCAAATAAATAAATAAATCTGTAAAAAATGCAAAGCTCATATTATCATTGAAGTTGATTAAATATTTGTGTTACACAGGCCTGCACAATATTAGCTTTTTGTTTCTATCATAAAATACCCAAGTCAGGCTAACTTTATTTAAAAAAAAAAAGTGGTTTATTTTGGCTTCTGGTTCTGGATTGCAATGTGCAAGGTCTAGAGGCCACACTGGACCGCGGTCTTCATGCTGGCAGGGTCCCAAGGCAGTGCAGAGCACCACACGGCAGGAGACAGAGTTCGTGTTAGCCTGCACCTCTGCAGTCTCCCCTCCCCTCCCTATACAGCCGCCAGGATTCAGTCATGGGGGGCTCCACCCTAATGACCCAATCTAACCATTCTCCAAAGGCCCCACTTCTGACACCATAGTCAGCTCATACCACTCACATAAGGCTGTGAGGTTTCAACTCCTGCCTGAGTTCAAGGGAACAAATCCTATTGCAACCACTGCAAATGTTCGTTCGCAAAAAACCACACATGGAAACTGCACTAAATTCTTAATAAAGGCAAATAGACTCCACAGGACCTGATCTTCTCAAGTAAGTTACCTTGTAGGCAGGGCTGCCAGACTCAGCAAGCAAAAATACAGAATGCTCAGTTCAATCTGAATTTCAGATAAACAACGGATATTTTAGTATAAGTATATCCCAAATACTACATAGAAACACTATACTAAAACACAGTTCATTGTTTATCTACGATTCACACGGAACTGGTGTGCTGTCTTTTTATCTGACAACTCTAATTACAAGAAAAGGTAGAGGCCGGCACCATGGCTCACTAGGCTAATCCTCAGCCTGCGGCGCCGGCACCCCAGGTTCTAGTCCCAGTTGGGGCGCCGGATTCTGTCCCAGTTGCTCCTCTTCCAGTCCAGCTCTCTGCTGTGGCCTGGGAGTGCAGTGGAGGATGGCCCAAGTGCTTGGGCCCTGCACACACATGGGAGACCAGGAGAAGCACCTGGCTCCTGGTTTCATATCGGCGCAGTGCGCCAGCCATAACGGCCATTTGGGAGGTGAACCAACGGAAAAGGAAGATCTCTCTGTCTCTCTCTCTAACTCTGTCGTAAAAAATAATACAATAAAAAAAAGAATAGGTAGAGAGAGATTTTATTAATATCCCCCTACCCATTTAGGAAAAGCTGTCCAGACTAGGCGTAGGATACAAACAGGCCTGGTGGTCCCTATTTCTGCCCTGGTTGGTCACTGAACAGTTAAGGAAGTTCCCAGCAAAGCTGGCACATGACCAGATGTTGTCTATTTTTAGGCTGAGGTAAATGGGACAGTTTTTCCAGGGACTGGGGAAAAAAAGAGTCATATCTGAGGTTGTGGAGAGGTGTGCGTTTAAAAGGGGTGAAAAAGGCGTGTCCTGTATTTCGCGTGGTAACGGCCACTTCCAACATGTCATTACTGTGCTCATCTTCAACATCACAAGCAAATAAAGGTGGCTCTTCACTGGAAGGAGGCAGAGGGTCCCCTGTTCTTGAGTGTGTGGGTTGTGTATGCCAAGCGAAGGGACAGTGAGATGGGAGGCTGGGCGCACTGGAAGGAAGCAGAGATACTTCAATCTCAACACATCCAAAACTCAAATCCTTACCTTTGCCTCCAAATTCCTCCTCATTTCCCAAGGTCACTCCTGTATGCAGCAAGCAGTAAAGACACCACTAAGTGCCAGCACGCGCCATCTCTGGATACACCTGTGAGCAGAAGTGACATGGTCTCTGATCTCAGCAGAGTGGGGTCATCAAAATGATTATGTATTACGATATTGATGTTTGGTGCTATACATCTCTAATTAAACTGGCATACTACTGATTGTTATGGGGAGATTGCAATGAAAAAACATGACAAATTATTATTATTATAAAGTATCTATAGAATAAAAGTTTTTTTAAGAAAACAGTACACTTTTCTCTTACTTAGGAGAACAATATTCTGCTAAAACTCAATTTCTGGAGTTTGGTGAATTTTAAAGTTTAGCAATAGTTGTTACAACTCACATTTTCAAATTAAACATTTGAATACTTGTTAAGATTCATCTTATTAGGCCGGCGCCGCGGCTCACTAGGCTAATCCTCCGCCTAGCGGCGCCGGCACACCGGGTTCTAGTCCCGGTCGGGGCGCCGGATTCTGTCCCGGTTGCCCCTCTTCCAGGCCAGCCCTCTGCTGTGGCCCGGGAGTGCAGTGGAGGATGGCCCAGGTGCTTGGGCCCTGCATCCCATGGGAGACCAGGAAAAGCACCTGGCTCCTGGCTCCTGCCATCGGATCAGCGCGGTGCGCCGGCCGCAGCGCGCCGGCCGCGGCGGCCATTGGAGGGTGAACCAACGGCAAAGGAAGACCTTTCTCTCTGTCTCTCTCTCTCTCACTGTCCACTCTGCCTGTCAAAAAAAAAAAAAAAAAAAAAATTTAAAAAAAAAAAAAGATTCATCTTATTGCTGGCGCTGTGGTATAGCCTGCAGTGCCAGCATCCCATATGGGCGCCGGTTCGAGTCCCAGTTGCTCCACTTCTGATCCAGCTCTCTGCCATGGCCTGAGAAAGCAGTAGATGGCCCAAGTCCTTGGGCCCCTGCACCCACGTGGGAGACCCAGAAGCTCCTGGCTGCTGGCTTCAGATTGGCCCAGCTCTGGCTGTTGTGGCCATCTGAGGAGTGAACCAGCAGATGGAAGACCTCTTTGTCTCTGACTCTCCTTCTCTCTCTGTGTAACTTTTTCAAATAAATAAATAATTTTTTAAAAAGTTTATATAAAAAAAATCATCTTATTACTGTTGTTTTACAAAAAAAAAAAAAAAAACCACAGCTGATCATTCTGCTTGACAGGTGACCCTCTTCCACGTGCAGCCCATCTCTCAGTGGTGGTTGTGCCCAGCTTGCTCCTGTGCGGCTCTGATCCATAGGGGACAGACTTCCTGCCACCCTGAATGGGCCAGACTGACCACCTGCCTGTTTCAGCAGCTTACTGCTATTTAATGACAGGCGACAGCGTCTCGAAAAAGTACTACCACGTATTAGGGCGCTTTCAACTGTGTCTGGTAGAATTCCAAAGCACCCGACACCCAGCTTCCTCAGCGGCATCAACTCTGTGACCCCCATCCTATGGGGGTGCAGCCACCTTGGGCCCCGGAAGCACTCATTGCTCCAACAGCCGGCGGCGCATTCAAGCCCTCTAGGCGCCTCCCGCCCTCGGGTTCACTCCACACATGCCCACAACAGCCCGCCATTTGGACCAGGCCAAAGCCAGCAGTTGAACCCCGACTAGGAGTCTCCCACGTGGCTGGCGGGGAGCCAACGACGGGAGCCGCCCCACTGCCGCCTCAGCTGTGAAGCCCTGGACGAAGCCCAGTCGGACCTCGCACCCAAGCCCAGGCCCTCGCTGCGGGGTGCGGCTGCACGAGTCTCTAGGCCGGAGCCTGCTTCATCGTTATCTCCCAGTGACGCGTCTTGGGTTACAAACGCGTCTGGAAGTACTTTCCGCTTCTCAGCACTTTCCTAACTCGGTTTTGGCACTTTTTTTGGTCACCTACGAATCCTCTCTTTCCCTCTTGTACTGCTCTGTTGTCACCCTAATAGTTTAGCCGCCCCCACCCCTATTTTTTTTTTTTTTTTACGTGAAGGGACAATTAGAGAACTGAATTGGGGGGAAGAGGCGGGTGGCGCTAACAAGATTCCCAGGCCACGTCCCTCCGAGTGTCCAGTCCGAGGTCCGGGTTCTCGTTCCAGGGTGGCCTCCGGGGTGGGGGGCTTGGCTGAAGGAGGCGGCCCGGGCGCCCAGTGCCCGCAGCCCTGCCTCCACCCCCGTCCGCCCGGGCGCCGGGCCCGCAGGCAGCTCCTCACCCGCCGGCCGCGTGAGGGAGGGGAGCGGGCCCCGCAGCCCGGCGGCCACTCTGATTGTTACGCGCGAGCAACTTCCCGGAGCGCGGGGGCTGCGGGTGCCGCGGGGCCTCCGCCCAGCGCCACTCAGGTCCCGGCGCGGGAAGCAGCTGCGAAGGGACAGGCACAGCCGCCGCCCGCGGTCTCCAAGCAGCCGCCCGCGTTCTTCCGGCCGGCCCTCCGCCGCGGGGGCGGGGCCGCCGCCCGCCGCCCGCCGCCCGCCGCCCGCGTTCTCCGGGTCCCCGCCGCCGGCGCCAGGGCCGCGCAGCGCACAAGCGCGACCGCAGCTGAGGATCAGCTGCTGGAGGAGGCGGGGAAGCGGAGGGAGGAGCTTCGGCGGGAAGGGGAGGGAGGCAGGCCGGCGGCTGTGAGGAAGCCGCGAACGCCACCGAGTGTCTGCACACCTCGCTCGGGCTGCCATGGCTGGTTAAAGAACCATCCGGATCGCAGCGCGGGGGGAGGGCCGGGCGGGGGGAGAGCGGCGGCCGCGCGGGAGGCCGAGGGAGGGGCGGCGGCGCGAGCGGCGGCGGCGGCGGCGGCGGTTCCAGCATGAAGAGGAGAGCTGGCCTGGGGGGCAGCATGAGGTCAGTGGTGGGCTTCTTGTCCCAGCGGGGCTTGCATGGGGACCCCCTGCTCACTCAGGACTTTCAGAGGAGACGCCTGCGGGGCTGCAGAAACCTCTACAAGAAGGACCTCCTGGGCCACTTCGGCTGTGTCAATGCCATTGAATTCTCCAACAATGGAGGCCAGTGGCTGGTCTCAGGTAAATCAACCCCCTTCCCCTCCCCGCGCCTCCCGGCCCCCTCCCAACCTTCCCCCCTCCGCCCTCCCTCGCCACCCCCCTCCTGCCCTCCGCCCCCAGCCCCTCCCTTGTCAACCCCCACCCCTTCTGCGGTGGGGAGGTTTGGTGTCAAATTAAGACCATTGCAGGGGGAGGGCGGGCGGGCGGGAGGGGAAGGAGAGGATGTCTTCTATAAAAAAAGACCTAAAATGGTTGACAGGTCCCTAATTCGCTGCATCCCAAGTGCAAAGTGCTCTCTCCCGAGCCCTGCCCCCGAAAGTGTGGGTCGGGGAGGGGGCGAGGTTACCGCTCCACAAAGTTTGATGGCAAACTCTTCCTCCGCGTACTCGGAAAGGTGTGGAGGACACATTTTTGGGATCCGGAGCGGGAGGAGGCCGAGGCACGCCTGAGGCAAGCGCGGAGCTGGAGTCTCCGCCGCCGGTGTCAGGGAGAAGGGGGCTGCGGGGCCGGGCGGTGACAGGGCCGGACGCCGAGCGGCCGGGGGGCTGCGACCCCGGGGCTGGCGGGGTCGGCGGAGGGGAGGGAGGGGGCCGGCCGGCGGGTCGCTGGCTAGCCGCCCCCCTCGGCGCTGTTAGGGGCCCAGCTCCTTCCGTACTGGTGTGGCCTCTTCCGCGTCTTGTTTTTATTTTGGGTTCGGGAGTGGCGAGGGCTTGGAGGCTGGCGTCTGCCAGCGTGAACTTGAATGCGCAACTTGCGAGGCAGGGGGTAGGTGGGCGACCCCCGGGGGACTTCGTGGCTGGAGCTCGGCGCCCGCACCCGTTTCCCCTGCGGCTGCCGTTGCAGGTGGTCTCCGCGTCTCCCCCCTCCCGCCCAGCCGGGTCTGCTTGCCCCCGGGCTTCCCCTCCGGTGTGGGGAAAGTGGCGAAATCGAGGCCGGGGCTCCGGCCGGGCGGTGTAGGCCTCGCTCTCCCGGGGCTCCTAGCGACAGGCCGCTGAATCGATAGCCTATTGCTCCCGGGGAGGCCCCGGCCGGGCGGCGGCGACAGCTGCCCCGGGGGAGGTGCTCCTGCTGCGGGGGGGAGCGCTCGGCGCCGGCCCCCTGCTCCCTGGGGTCGCGGACCTGAGGCAAAGGGCAGGGGCGGCGGCTCCCCGAAACCCGGCCCGGGGGCGGAGGGCGAAGGCGGGTGGTCTGGCGTTCCCGCTCGCGGTGTGGCCTCCTCGGTCCCTCCCCCCAAATTGGGAGGGCTGGAGCGGGGGAGCCCGGGGCTGGACGTGGCGCCTGGCTTCACCCAGGTCGGCCCTCGGATGGCTTTCTAATTTGCGTCAGTGGGCAGCTGGCCAGAAACTTCTGGGATCATGGCATAGCATCCGTCTTCTTGGCGAGTTACAGTCGGAAGTGACACGGGGTGTACGGTCCAGTTTGGGGGTAGCAGAGACAGGCTCTGTGTGATCATTTCGTGATAAAGCTCCCGGGGTTTCTTCAGAACTGACCTGAGGGATTCCACCCTGGGCCGTTTTCTCTTCGGTTAGGTAGATTTTGGCCCTAGAAGGTCATCATTCCCTGGAGGGAATACCCGGCTTCAAGGCGGATCCCAAACAAAAGCTTCCTCCCCCGCGGTGCCACCGCAGGAAGTTTTTTATCCAATGAATTTCAAGGGCAGAAGTGGGAGAAGACCTCTTTAAAGAGTTCGCAGTTTTTCCCCTTAATACTTCTTGTGTACTCAGAATACTCCTGACTTCCTCCCGGAAGGATGGATTCCAAGAGAGGTGTTCCCAGACACAGGTAAAACCCACTGTTGGGAGGCAGGGAATGTGAGGGCCCCTACAGACAGCGGAACATCGTAAATAACCTACACATCGCCCAGTTTCACACACTTTAAAAACAGCTTTATTGAGATAAGATTTCCGTACCATAGGACTCGCCTCCTTAAAGTGAATACATGTTTGGAAAGCACTTAAAAAGCTCCCTCCACTCTCTACCAGTTACTGCTTCCTTGTGCAGGACCTACCCCATACCTTCAGTCAACTCCATTTTCCCTTGGTCTGGGTCGGTGGTCGGTTTCCTTGTGGAGAGGAGGGTCCTTCCCACAGGGCCGGTTCTGGCCAGCCTCCTCCCCTCCCAGGCCTGAGTTGCCCATCTCCATCAGTACTTCCTGGGTTTCAGCCTTTTTTGCCCCTTGCTCCTCCTCCCTGCCCCCACACTCCCAGTTCAGTTCTTCCTGTTTCCTTTTTATCTACTCCTGGCCTTGTTCTGAGCTCTCCAGGTTGGCTCACACAGACCTACTTGTTCTGGTTCCCTTCGCACTGAGTTTTGGGTAGAAGCCTTCCATTGTGAGTACAGCCTGCGTTAAGGGAAAGTTCCTCCTGTTTGCTTCAGATAAGGAAGCCTGCTTTGGGAGTCATAATACACCTTAACTTGTTAAGGTTAATTAATTTTTTTCTGGGAAATACTTCAATAATCTTATCTGTCATTGTCCCTCATTAGCATTACATCTGAGGGAGGGGCACATTCGTGTTTTGAGGCTAATGCTGTCTGTCCTTAATAATTCACAGTAATCTCCTCAGACTCTGGCATGGTGGTGAGATTCCTTCCAGGCATTTGGTGTTGTTTTTGTGTCTTGTCTGGATTGGTTAAAGCCCTCAGAGAGCGGTGATTTAAATGATAGATTGTTCATAGTTTATTCATTACTTTCATTTCATAATTGTTCGGGCAGGCTCACATTTCTTGTAACTGACACATACCATTTGATAAAATTAACTTAGACCCAGGGTGCAAGTAATATTTCCATAACTCCTATGGCTGTATTACTTTAACCTTTTTCCAGAGCGCAGCGAGCCAGTCCATGTTAAGGGTAAACCAGAGAAAATCAGGCAGGAGAAAAGGCACTCTGCTGAGATTATGACAGCAACAAGTGGGACAAAGGTTGCTTGCCATTTTAAACCACTGAAATATTTTTACCTGAAAGGCGCTTTCCTTAGGCCTCACTGTGTTGTACAAGTGTGACCTTAGTCAAGTTAGGAAGCCTCGTGGGTTCTTGAGGAGCGCGTTGGGAATCTCACTGCCCACCTGAAGGGCTGTTGTGAGAAGTGCTTTAGGGAAAGTATAGGTTGGGTGCTGAACAGAGTAGGAGGCCTCTCTGAGAAAATGCTGACTTTGTGGTTTTCTTTCCCTTTTGTACATCCGACACCTGGTGTCATTAATAGCTGACATTTGTTCCTGCAGTTTGGGGAATGGGCTGTGCCAGTTGGGAAGAGGAGGCTCACTGGGTGTGGAAGGCCCGGGTACAGGGCCTTGACTTCACTGGAGCTGGAGGCTGCACCAGTCACAGGCTGTAGAATTTGGGTAAATCTCATCATTCATCTGTGAAATGAGCAGAACAGATTGCCCGACTTGCCTAACAGGGTGGCTGATGAGATGGTGTATGTGAGAGTGCTTTATAAACCACGTGGCTCTGAGTGGTCATTACATACAAGGAGCAGCCCAGGCTTAGTGATGATGGACTTATTGAAGGATATTCCAGTGTGTGACTCCTCCGGGGTAAAGAGAAGCGGCACTGGCTGTTGAAGTGCTGTTTGTGAGAGACCCTAACAGCAGCAAGAAGCCTATGTTACTGCACGCGTTTCTGGATTGTCTGGGTTTACCGTGGAGGTCTTTGGTTGCATCTAGTACTTTATATTATCTTCACCACCTCCTCTTCTACTTTCCCTTTTCCCTTGAATGGGGTCCTTTCTGTGTGTGCTATTTTCTTTGGGAAGAAGGTGAACATCTCTATGGGATCTGACTGGAAGACCAATCACAGCATGGTTCTCTGTGTATCTGCCTTGGATTATAACTCTGCCTTTAGCTTGTAAAGGGTTTGTGCAACCAGAATCTTAGCAGTAAACAACAGGAAAGATTCAGCTCTTTGGAGATGAGAGTTGCTATAATATTATTTGTCCTGAATTGAGATTTAAAGTATTGGACCCTTCGAACTGGCCGACTGGCAGCTTATAAGTATGAAGTTTTGAATTACAGAAAGATTATCATCTCTTTTTTGTGCCTATGACTAAATATAGGGAAAAAAACCCTGATTATATTTTCAAAGAGTTAATTAAGTAGGTGCTGTACAATGGGGAGAGGCATTTAAATGCTTGGTCATGATATTTGTATTTGGGGGATTAACTGTTCAGCTTATTTCTGTTCCACTTGGACTTCTGACCTTATTGATCATTAGGAGGGTCCATAGTTACAGAGAGGGAGATTATGGGTATGAACCCTGGAGTCAGACAGCCAGAGCTTGTCCCATCAGCTACTCAATAACTGACTTACCTTTGACAAATCACTTACCCTTTCTCTCTGTCTCTTTTTTTTAAAGACTTATTTGTTTATTT